ATAATAAGTAACCAACACGGAAACAAATCTTGTTGATTTCATTTAAGTTATACTCTTAAATGTTCCCACAAAACAACTTCTGTCTTACTGTTTGACCATTTTTATATTTAATGACACAATTCCTTAATCTAAGAATATTGCCAAAATATCGATATTACAAAATCGCATTGCGATACGATATTTTTTGTCGTTGTATCCCAATATATTGAAATATCGATATTATTGCCGAGCCCTAATCAAAATTATGAAAAACCTGAATCTGATTTTGTAGGCGAAAATTGTAATTTGAAGGTAAATTTTCAAATTTTAAGAATGCCATCATTGGTTACCATTTTAGACCTGCAATTTTCGGCACTTGGTCTTTTGAGCAGATAGGAGTAATCTTATGTGTGTCAGAACCTACTGCTACACGGGACCTCGGTTTTATGGGTCGATCCATTCTAGACCGGTCTGTTGATTCAGACCTGCGACGTTCATGAATGTACATATATCAACTCCTTACACCGCAACTCTAAGGGAAACGCTCTATAACAACTGCACCACGGGGTTGATTTTTCAATGATTTAAAGTTTCGTGATAACCATGGATTTTAAATAAAATTGTCTTTTTGGCTAGATGTTCAAATGTCCTTTACTTTTTAACCTTTAGATCTTATCTTTTGGTGCTCTGCTTCATATATTTTTAATAAGATTAACAGCTTACATCTAAAGGTACTTTTAACATAATATATTCTATATTTGGCGGGAATTGTTTTTTTAGCAGGTAAGCTTAGATTCTACTTTTAAATAAAAAGATAAAGTACATGATCATTTATACGTTAACAGTGTCAATCTTTTTGGTGCTATTTGAAAACTGGATCAAAACGATTTTGTCAAAAAAGAATTATTTAAAAACCTCAGTATTTAAAATAGATATACATGTATATCAAAGCGGTTCATATTCACCAAGTTTTTGTTTAAAAAAAAAAATGAAATGAACTATTTTTGCCTTAAAAAATCTTCTTCTCATGAAATACGTGGCCTGAAAAGCTGAAACTTATATGAAAGCATTTTTAGGTAGTGTAGATTCAAAATTGTTAAGATCATGAACCTCTAGAGTAGGGTGGGGCCACAATAGAGAATCCAAGTTTTACTTTGAAATATATAGAAAAAAACTTTTAGAATCTTGTTTTCAACAATTTTTGGGCCAGAAAAGCTGAATCTTTTGTGTAAGTATCCTGGGATAGTGTAGATTCTAAAGTGTTGAAATCATGACCCCCTGGAGAAGTACATGTATGGCGAAACAATACAGAATCAACTTTTAAATTGAAAAATAAACGGATTTTTTTTTTAAAAATCTTCTCAAGAACCACTGGCATAGAATATCGTGAAAATAATATGGAAGGTAGTGCAGATTCTTTATTGTTCAAATCGTGACCCTTGCGGGTGGGGTGCGGCCACCATAGCTTTTACAACTATACAAAATCTGGTGAAGAACCGCAGGACCATTGTGGCAACGCACTTTGAAAAAATTACGCACTTTGAAAAAATTTTTCAAAGTGCGTTAAAATTGGGACAAAATCAACGCGCTTTGAAAAAAATTTTCAAAGTGCGTTAAATTTGGGACCAACTCAACACACTTTGAAAAAATTTTTCAAAGTGCGTTAAGAGTCTACATCAATATATTTTACCATGGAGACACTTAACGCACTTTGAAAAAAAAATCATGTTTTAGTCATGGAAAGATTTTATTTGTTATTTATCTTTCAAAAAACTAAGCCTAACCCAAACCTCAAAAATGAATTGATTTACTCCCGTCAAAAAGAGGAGAAGACGGGTATATGATCCCTCAGTCCAAATCTTTATCTTTCCAATACATAGGTGTCGGTAACAAACGGGGGAGGGGAGCAATAAACCTAAAAAGGGTACGCTGTATTTTCAATGCTTATACGATGTATATATCTTTACTAAATAAGTGGGGGGGCTTAGCCCCCCCCCATCCCCTCCCCTGGCCCTTCGCCCAGTCTCGATGTCTATGCTATACTCAAAGCATTCATATAATTATGTATTCATCTAATTGGTATGACGTTGAAAACATTCAATAATAAATGAGTTAATTAAAATAGATGAAAACTAGAAGTTTTTAAGTACAGTAAAATTTTTGAGAGAGAAAGAATTTTCATAGTTTTGAACAATCAAATTGGCCCCTTTTTATTATGATAAATGCTAAGTTGCTTGAAGCTTTCCTCTATTAATGCCCCCTATGCACCTTTACATCTACTTATCAAAGACTAAAATAAAAAAAAAAAGAAGAAACGAAGTAATGGACTTAAACAATCGTCACTCTTTTTTTAAGACCCTTTAATTTTCCCTTTTATTTTATCAAACCCTTAAATATTTGAAACGTCAACATCTCAGGCCCTACACCAACTTTATCATAAAAAAAGTTATCAAACCACGATCTGTTATTTATCATACCGATAGTTTTCTAAGGAATATTGATCAATCTTTACATTTTTTTCAAAGTGCGTTAATATGGTCGATATTAACGCACTTTGAAAAAAAAATTATTTTTTTCAAAGTGCGTTAGCTTGGTCCCAAATTTTAACGCACTTTGAAAATTTTTTTCAAACTGCGTAATTTTTCAAAGTGCGTTGTAACAGACCATAATTACTCAGGTGAGCGTTGTGATCCATAGGCCTCTTGTTCTGTGTAGGAGGAGGGGGGGGGGGGCAGTCTACAATTACATGTGGTCAAAAAGCCTCAATGAAATTGTACCGTTAAAAGTTTTAAAGAAATCTTGTAATGATACAATTTTATTTATTTATTTACGATACAGCATAAATGGGATAAAGCCTTTCCTTTCTAAATGTCATTTGCGTCATTGGAATTTTGGTGATTAGCATGACTCGCGCCGGAAATTAACTCAACATTTGAATGTTATATCAAACAAACTCCTCTGATTGTCTCTGGAAATGACTTACGATAAAAACTTTTCTAAAAATGAGATGAACTCTAAAGATTACTTTTCAAAATACATACATGTTTGTTCACAATTTTCACTTCTTACCAGTACAGTAAGTCTTTATTAAGTCTATATTTATTTCAAATACATGTACACAATTTTAACCCCTTATAAATGCAGAAAATCTATAGAAATATTTCCATGCCATTTTTTTGGGGTGGGGGGGGGGGTGGGGGTGGGGATGGGGGAGTCAAAATCCTTATGACCATAACGCGGAAACTAGGAATAAATGAGATGTTGTAGCCAGAATATGTAGGGCAAATATGGTGTATCGTCACACCCCCTTATATAATATGTCCTAACATTTGGTTGTTGAGTAAAATCAAGGATTACCTGGATAAATAAATTTGTCTAATGATATATATGACTTACATACGTACGTATTATCCTAGTTATTTTGGACAAAGCTTTGACTTTTCCTCCTATCTGTTTTGTGTTTTTAAAACCCCATTTCAGTTAATCATGTTGTTAATCATGCCAATTTTGAATAAATTGTAAGACTAGTACATTTAGCATTGCTAAGAAGTATGTAAAAAATCTTTTGAAGAAACTCCAATCCATTTAACACTTACAATTTATAAGAGTACAAACTTAATTATCAAGAACCGTTTTAACACGAACATGAACCTTTTGACATTAAGATGAAAACTTATTATGGAATTTGTGTAGTTTGAATATTACCTACACCAATTCTAGTAACGATATGTATAATTATACCGGGTATGTCATGAAGTCCATAAATTCTTTCTGACAAATAATTCGATTCAAAAATTATTTGAAAATAAAATTGAAGAAACACATGTGATTTTCTCATGTTACTATTTTTATTTACAGAAAATTTCTACAAAGTTTTATGGAAGGCTGTTCCCGTCATTCAATTAAGTTAATATTTCACGTACATCTGTTTATTGGATTCAATTTTTTTTTTATTACCGATTGATGTCAAATTAGGTTTTGTGAATATTAATGTTAATATTTACTTTTTTGCACGAATATATCTTTAAAAATTATCTGCCATATATACTAAAGCTTTATTTCGTGATGACTTGCAGTGAACACATGTCTTAACATTTCACTGCCAAATGTCGACAGTAAAATGGGGTCAGAATGTCCATTACGTGACGTAATCATATTAACATTATACTGCATGGTATTCACTTTTGCTTACGTGATGTAAAAGTAAAAACGTACATCATACTATCACCGTGTGAAATGCACCCCAAGGACATAACACCTCCTCCCCTGTCATGCCGCGTTGAGTGATTTTTAATCTGAACAATTAAAGTGACATTGAGTTTATTTGATTAATCCGTTAATTGATATCTATTTGTATTCTTCACTCTTTCATTAATTCTATTGTTAAAATATCACTTTGTATCTTAATATTCATTGTCATGTTAGAATACTGGCAGTTGGAGAGTGACAGCCAAGCCGCTCGGACCACCGACTCCCGACCTTGTAGATTTTGTTAAGTTTTAGGAGTTTTAATAAATTTGTAAAACGATACCGACTTAAGCAATTTCTCTTGGTCACAATACCCTTACTGTATATCAAAACATTTAGGTGACGTGAATGGTATGCTGGGTTTAAGCTACTGTTGACTTCCTGGTATCATAATTTTTGCGTCCCATAGAGGGTCATGTCAGAGGTCAAATTCGGAACAACTCTAGACTTATCGCTTCAACAAATACACAATGATTTTGCAGGGTATGATTTGATTGGTTGGTTGAATTTGATCTCTGACGTGTCGCTCTATGGAATGTTGTTAGATGTTAGTGTAGTGAGTATGCGAGCGGATCTAACATCTACTTTTAATAAGATTTATCATATTGTATACCATGTTGAATTAAGTCTGAGTCTTTTCCCTCTCTGCATTACTTCTCTTTCTTTCCAATTTTCAAATTCAAGTTTCACCAGTAAATTCAAAAGACAAACAAATAAGGTAACTATTTTAAAAATAAAGGTTTTATTTGAAAAACAGATGTGGATAAATTTTTTTTCCTAATGTTTCACCACATGATCCATTTATCAAACAAAAGCACGTCATTAAAATTAATATCTTTATTTGTTATTGGCACTTTGAGTATCACGCAGTCGCAGTTGACGTAATTGTCACTCGGCGGAAGTGTGAACATCTCGCGAGATTTCCTTCTCTTGGTGTTGTAACACTCAACAGATAACACATCACAGTCCCGCTGGAAGCTCTTGCCACCAATCATATAAATATTATGACCTGAAACAAATATTATACACTTTGTCATTTAGGTAGATCACATAATAGCGCTAGATGTTGCTAAGAAGTTGCAAATAATCCACAACAGAAAGACTTTTGTGCGTAAAAACTTAGGCATTGGCATACTTTATGTCTAATATTAAATGTACAGACACATCAATTAAAAGGTACTTTCGATTATATCAAAATTTGAGATTTGAATAACCTATAATAAATTACTCAAATTCATTTTTGATATGGGTAAATGAAATGCATTTTCTTCAATGTACAATTCGTAGTGATTTCATAATAATGATTAAAAAACAAGCCTGAAAGTACCCTATTAGGTTTCCATACTTTGAAATCTTTCTTTAGTCTGGTTTGCTTTTGGGTTTTCCAGCAATAAAATTGTTGCTTTTAGACAGATTTTTAAATTAATACTATATACCATTTAAGACGGCAATACCAAGAACTGCCTTTGAAGAAACACGATTAGTGTTTGTTGAAATTACTTACTTATCGTTCAGTAAAAGAGGGTGTTGCAGAAACTCGCGATTATTCCCTATACACTGTATATCGAGAAGGACATTTAAATACCCTCGTTATGTCTAAATATAGATACGGCTACGTAGAGGACTATGTTTACGGCGGGTAATTCCTGCTTGATACAGCAAAACACTTTCGTCTTTTTGCACGAAAGAGGTTGGAACAACAAAAAGCACAATGGCTAAAGCAGCATTTTGAAATATATACTGTAGACATCATGCGAAAATATTTTTTCATGAAATAAAACTGCGTCCCATAATCACAGTTGGTTTTACGTCCAAGACATTTTATTTGTTTCATATAAATCTTGGCTACTAGCTAAGAGACCAAAATTGCAATAACTGCAGTTTATAAAAAAAAAAAAATAAAAAAATATATTATTTAAACAATACAGTAACTTTACTGTAAGCATTAGTTTTAAGTCAAAGCATATCAAGGAAAACAATTTAATCCTGCATTTTTAATATCTAGATTAGTTATTACTCAATTAACTTCTTGACATGCACCTCCCACCTCTCTTTCAAAATAAATGTAATTTCATTGCACTACCATTACATATGGAAAAAAAAGATCCGTACCAGGATTCGAACCCATTCTCTGGTAAAAGTACTAGTTGGAGGACCACCAGCATATCCACTGGACCATTTCGGACACGATGGTTTTACAGTGTTATTTAAAGTTCACATTTTGCATTTCGTTTGGAGAATAATTTTTATTAAATTTTTGCGTTTTTCAAAAATATGCCTCTTTGAAACAAAAATCGCAGATGGCAGTTTTGAAGAAAATTCCCGCCTCTTTGTGTATATATGAAAATTATTTTGTTTCAAGGAGGCACTTTTTCAGAACAATGAGGATTCCCTATCTAAAAAACGGAAAATTTGATATATTTTGCCATAAGACTAATTTTCACATCATTTACTGGCAAAATGGAAGTCAATACACACCTTCCAAATATTGTTTCTCGTTGTGCTTTATACATTGTTGCATTTGAAAAAAATTAATATGAGTTTCTGCAACATAAAAATTCTTCTTTTAATCTGCTACACATTTAGGGAAAATAACAAAAGAACTGCAACACCCTCTTTAATTATGAATCAGCGATAATTGCATGTACATGCTAAATCAACGATTAATAATAAGGAAATGTTATTTTCCCTCTACTGCTTATTACACTTGCGTAATAGGCATTACAAAGATTACCCAGCAAAACTGCTCCACCATGAGCTCTTGGTTGATTCATATTTGGATGATTCACATCCCAGCATGCATCTCGCCGGAAGTCGCCCCGACATTTTGTATTGTAGCTGGATATAGCTGCTTCATCTTTCTCTGAAAATGTCTCCTGATCAAAGCCTCTACCTTCAAAGAAAGTTAATAAGTTACATTAATTTCAAATTTGATTTGAAGGCTAAGGGATAGCCTCCACCTATTTTAGCTCTACAGGTTGAACAGATCAGAAGAGTTTATGCGATAGTAAGTTGTCTGTCTGTCTGACTACAATGTACCGGGTAGGTGTCTGTCTGTCAACAATTTTTGAAAACGCTACTCCTCCTGCAGTTTTGGTCTGATTTCAACGGATATAACTTGGCACACAAGTAGACTACACTATGATACTTAATTCTTATAATTTTTTTATTTCGATGAACGATGTTGCCTTGGTTACTAAAATTAGAAATTTAGAAATTCTTTTTAAATGCTACTGCTTTTACAGTTTTAGTCGGATTTCAATATAATTTTGCAAAAAAGCAGACTACACTAAGAAGCATAATTTCATTGCATCGGTTTTTGATTTAATTTCTTGAACGGTGTTGGTTACTAAAAAATCCCATGAAACGCTACTGATTACTTTTTGAACATTTTTAATCTGATTGCACTAAATCTTGCCACAAAGAAACTAAACCAATGACTTATTACAGTCCATAGTTACTTGTATTTTGTGTAGTATATGATGTTTACCATTTAACTAACCGTTCACTTTTAAAACTAGAGGTACTGTGAGCAATGAACTCACTACTTAGTATATGATACCCCCGCATGTTTTGCTGTGGCCGGGAAACCCCAAAATATGTGTCGGATCAAAAAGTAAAATAGGTGGACAATGGCAATATATAATAAAGATTCTGTGAAAGTTTCATTAAATTTCACTCTGTGGTATAAGAGGAGTTGCGGATAAGAGATGGGTACCCCAAAGCGTAACAGACAGACGGACGGACGGACATACCGATTACTATATATATACCCTCTCACTTTTCAAGCGGGGGGTTTAATAACTCAGCACATATTTACATTTTCTAGTTTTCTGGTATTGAAAGACGTGGAACTACTGCCTATTTAGAGGGTGATTCAACCAAGACATAAACAATTTACTGATACATGCATATGTTGCATGCTCATTCAATTAGCACCATGCACTACTTTTCGTACAGAAGTTTACATTAAAAACAATAATTTCATAAGTCTTATTAGGTAACTCCTACAGTTAAATTTGTGTTTATTTCAGTGTGACCTTTATAAAAGTAAATCTTCATGTTTATTTCATCCACACCTCACCTACATGTATACGTTTCATTGGATAGGGCTTTGCTAAACGCGGAAGGGAAAACAGAACAGAAGGAGGAACGGAAAATTTTTGTCAAACAAATAACCTAGATTCGAAATAAATTAGATATATAATCAATATTCTTGATATGAATGTCATTTCTAATAAAAAATATTATCGTAAACTACGACATTTTCATGAATCATGCATATCCTTTAAGAACTGGCAAGTGCATATGCAATGGTTATTAAAAAAAATACATATTACTAACTAGGGCTAATTGTAACGGGAACCGTTACAGATGTTCCCCAAACGCTCCCCAACTCCCTTTTGGTGCCTTATTCCCTGTAAGCTTCATTAAATAAGACGAACTCTATGCCTTTTAGACTATAACAATGTTTTCCCAGAAGTATATTCAGTATATTCAAATTTATGCATTGCACGCATGCGCATTTGAATGCATGTGCGTAATGACCATATCATCTTGTCTACACTATTTATATACTAGAAATTACAGCGTTTTATCCAAAAGTATTAAAAAATACGTTTTAATCTAGTGTATTTGTAATTTTACTCATTTCACGTGCACGCACGTGCATGCATGTGCATGTCGACTGTATCTTCTTGTAGGAGTCTGTTATGTTTGTCTATGTTCTAAATCCCATCCTATTTGGTTGAAAAACGAGGAAGTTATAGCCATTTTAAGTTTAAGCCAATCAGATTGCAGCGCACGTGTATGCGCATGTTTTCAGGACAACTGTTATATTTCATATTGTAGGACATTCTAATGCATGATTATGTTTAAAATTTTAAAGCATTTCGTCAAAAATTAAAAAAAGATATTGCGATTTTTGTTTCAGCGAATCAGAGCAAAGCACACGTGCATGCACGTGCATGCATGTGCATGACGATCATACCTCCTTGTGGGAGTCCATTATGTTTGTCTATGTTCTAAATCCCATACTGTTTCGTTGAAAAACAAGGGAGTTATAGCCATTTAAAGTTTAAGCCAATCAGATTGCAGCGCACGTGCATGCGCGTGTTTACATGACAATTGTTATATATCATACTGTAGTACATCCTAAAGTATGCCTATATTTTAAATTTCATAGCATTTCGTCAAAAAACAGAAAAGATATTGAGATTTTTGTTGCAGCCAATCAAAGCGAAGCGCACGTGCATGCGCGTGAGTTCGTGCTAATTTGACAGTGTCACATTATCTACACTATTAATCTATCCTTATTAAATGAGTTTTAAAATATTTCATCAAAAAATGTTAAAGTTATGGCTATATAAAGTATATCCGTCATTTCACTCATTTCACGCGCCCGCACGTGCATGCGTATGCGCGCAAAATAACCTTCGTGTTGCACACCTACACTGCACACCTATTAACCCTAAAAAGGTTTTAGCTCAGTTGGGTGAACAGTTTCTGAGAACACTCGCGGACAAAAAAGTACCGGAGAACAAAGAAGAAAAAAAAGAATAATAATAATAATAATAATAATAATAACTAGAGCCGAGCTCGTTGCAAAGCAACGAGTAGGTCTCCCGTCCTGTTTGACCGGAAGTAACTTTCATTCTAAAAAAAAAATAGAGTAATGAAGTCCCAAAATGGTTTAATCCTCCAAATCTATGTTAAGTATTGCAAAATTAAGCCATTTTCGGCAACTTCCGGTTTGACCGGAAGTGACGACGACGGACGGAAAATTAAGATTTAAGCTTCCAGTGACATATGATATCCAAAAACTTGTCAAGAACAGCAAAAATATGCAAAGATTGACTACTTCCGGTTTGACCGAAAGTGACGTCGCCGGACGTATTTTGACGACGCCATTAGATAAAGCTTGATATTTTGAACAACTTTGCTTCTTTGACGTATTACAAATTCTCAATACTTTTTGAGATATAAAGGAAAATCTTTTGGCCCCTTTTGGCCATCTAAATAGGGGGCCAGTCCATTATTGTTGATATCTTTTGAAAGATCGTGACATTCTTCACAACTTTTGTTCTATATGTCTTTAAAAAATATTAACGTGTAAAAAGATATTGCCAAAAATGTGTGAAAAATTTCTAAATTCACGATAGGTCTTTTTTCGAGCCATAGCAAGCGCTGACGTGCTGCACTTCCGGAGAATAAGAAAGGTGTATGTCACATCACCATATATTGCTCTATCATCGCTGAAAATCTTACATTTCTATCTAAAAGCACTTTTGAGAAAAATGCTGGACAATGTGACCCTCTGAAAATCACTAAATCGCAGAAATCTCAAAACCGGAAGTGACGTCATAAAAATAAAAAATTATATATCAGGTTTGATTGATGTTCCATCAGTCCTGAAAGTTTCATGAAAATCGATCGAGCCGTTTCCGAGAAATCGCGTGCACAAAATCGGTAAGAAAAAAAACAATAATAAAAATAGTGGAAAAGAAGCCTAAGAATAACAAGAAGGTCTTCCGCTGAAGACGGAAGACCTTAATAAGAAACCGAGTAAAAACAGTATGTTCCCAAACTCCGTTTGGGGAACATAACTAGACTCAAATCCTGGGTATCCATCTGAACGTTTCGTACAATTTTTTTTTTGAAAAAAGAAAGCTCGTTAATAAAAATATTGGCAGAAGGGAAAACGACTACTAGTATGTACACACATATATCTGTAAACTAAGACAAAAATAACTAGTTTTGACATTCAGATTATGCAAGCAGTGGCATAATCTTGAAAAGGGGGGACGGCGGGGTAATTGAGAACAAATTTGCTTTGATAAAAGTTATTTCAAGGGGATGGAGGTTAAATATTTTCCGTTTTTAACAATTGAGTTCTACAGTGTAAGTTTTGAGCTTTACCCCCCCCCCCTCCCCTAAAAAAAAAAGAGTTATCTCTCTTTTGATAAATAATTCAAAATTTATTTAGCTATGAGAAGTTAATTTTAAATTTTGTATGCAGGGCCTGAACATTGACATCGTTTGTCCTGTGATTTTTTTTTCTTTTTTTTTAGAGAAATCACTGTTTACATATAAAGTAGTTAATTAAATCCTATGCCAGCGCATTAACACAGTCGAGAAGGGAGGATAATTTGCCAAAAAAAAAAAAAATACGAAGCCCATTTTTGTATGACAGACAATAAGAAACCTGGGATAATTTGCAAAAATGACGAAACCTGAAGCTTACAACTATCGTTATGAAACCCCTAGCATACCCAATACAATTATGCTTATTATCCAAGGTACCTGATTCCACCTCTAATGTTTGGAAGTCCGAGATTGCTCTACTACAAATGTGTATTGTTAAGACTTTTAACGTTGATTAAACAGTTTGTTATCTCCATACATTTCATTTATACTTGAAATAAAAATGTAGATAACCAAAAATTTTAATTGATTCAAATAATGTCATTCACTCAAGGATGGGCATAATTTGGATCGATTCTTAACTCAAAATTGTAATTAAACGCCTCCCAAAACATTGAAGTCGCAGTTTGATGACCACCTTTGAGTCTTTCCTTATAGAATTACCATCAGATTACTTTTTCCTTTTTGACCATTGATTGTTTACTTTATTAAAATAATATTATTATTTTACCTCCCATAATGTAGATTTTCTTCCCTACTGGTACCATACTGTGTTTTTCTCTTTCGTGAGGTAAAATAACACCAATTATCGGCTCTGTCCATTCGTTCATAATTGGGTCGTACATCCTGCAAGTTAAAAAAGTGGTTCTTCTTGTTATTATTCAACTACGAGGGGTGATCAAAAAGTTCGCAAACTATCTCTATATCTATATCTATAAAACCACAATTCAGATTAGAATGAAATTCGGTACACACATAGCCATACACAAGGTCTATAAATAGCATATGCTGAATAAAGTTTCTCTCCTTGTTTGTGACGTCACAATGTGAAAATGACGTCACTATTTAGGTCACTTGTGACGAAAAATGGCTGTATCAGTCGAACTCGTTCAACAAACGAGTGTACAATTTATTGTAATATCTTAGAAATCCCTCTACAGTATCATATAATAATTTGTACACAGTTTATTGAGATAAATGAGTTCCTATAAATTCAATTAATGATTGGATTAATCGTTTTAGTGAAGGAAGGCTGATGGTTAAAAATGATACTTGTCATCTTGCCCAGTGAAAGCAAGTTTGAAAAGATATGTATTTTTAATCAAGCAATTTGCTATCAAAGACCTCCAATTAGCACTTTGAAAAATAGTTGAATATTTGAACAATGATATAAGTATTAAATACCTAAGATTTCTTTTACTTTAGATTTTAAACATATTAGATGTGATAAAAAGGATGCACCCATTCTCTATCCACCTTGAATAAAGGTCTCTCCTGAGACAGAAGATTTGTGTTTTAATGGTCGCCATGCTTATTTTTGGAAAGGATGTTATTATCCACCCACTCTGTTGCCAAGATATGACCATTTCTGACAAATTAACTGTTCTTGTCATAAAAATTAACTCACATGGAAAGAAATATAAAACTCGGAAAAATCTTTTAACTTTTGTGACAGAACGCTACGGAGGGGGTCACGTGACCGCCAATATCACGTGATTCGCGCATGCGCAGAACGGTGGTTGATGTGCATTAAAATCGGGGAGGATTAATTTAAAATATAATCAACATTAAAACCAAATATTGTTTCTTGTATGGAAGTTATTCAATTAGTTTGCGAACTTTTTGATCACCCCTCGTATGTTCGTGATAATACGAATTTATTCTGTAAATACATGTTTTGACTTTTGTTGACACCTAAAAATCTAATTTGTCAGCAATGTACATTTATCTTGAGAACCATTTGTTTTCCATACATCAAATTTGGTACACTGGTAAATATAGTCCAAAATTTCTCTAGGTTTTTTTTAAAATACGACTTTGATACATGTATTTGACGTGCCAGGTTTTCAACGCGCTTTTCATCATATTCATATTTAAAATGCCAGGATTCAAAGGCGTTTCTTTTAACGATTACGATATTTAATGTGGCGGAATTTACAGGCGTTTTTCACCATATTTGATATTTGACGTGTCAGGTTTCTCAGGCGTTTTTTTTTTGTTTTTTGTTTTTTGTTTTGTTTTTTTTTTCGATTTTGATATTTGGCGTTCCTGGATTTACAGGCTTTTTTCATCATTTCGATATTTGACGTGCCTAGGTTCAAGGCGTTTTTACAATAATTTTGACGTGCCAGTTATGCCTTTTTCACCATTTTGATATTGACGTGCCATGTTTCTTAAGCGTCTTTTTTTCCTTTTTTACAATTTTGATGTTTGACGCTTCTGGATTTACTGGCGTTTTTATTCAATTTTGATATTTGACGTACGAGGCCCCGGGATCATAAAACATCTTACTAATCTAAAGTCAAAATTTTTATGCTGTACTTAAATTTTATAGAAGGCAAACAGATCAAAATTGAAATGTGTTTCAATTTTGAATCATAAACATGTTGTTAGTTGCAAATTTTTAGATCAATTCAATAATTAATCTAAGTCTAAGTCTGTTTTATGATTCTGGGACCAGGTTTCTCTTATGTTTTTCATGATTTAGATATACCAGGTTTTTCAGACTTTAGTTTACAATTTATATATTTGACGTAAAGGATTTACAGTTTTTAGGTGACCTCCGTCGTGCGTTAACATTTGAACATTTTCAGCTTCTTCTCTGCAACCACTGAACCAATTTCAATCAAATTTGGCACAAAGCATTGATTGTAATCAGCATTGAGTCCTCTACCAAAATTGTGAAATTCATGGCCCTGAGGTCAGGAGTTCTAGTGCTAGAGCGGGGCTAAATAAGTATATAGTGAAAATGCATTATTTCTTTGAAAATCTTCTTCTCTGCTCCTGGGTATTAAATAAACTAACTAAGTACATAGTTATGATGAGCAAGAACGCCTCTACCAAAATTGTGAATTTTATGGCCCCGGGGTCAGGGGTTCTGGTCAATCTGGTGTTAGGGCAGGGCTCTATTGATTATATAGTGAAAATACATGAATCCTTTGAAAATCTTCTCTGCTCCTAGGTATTAAATAAACTAACTAAGTGCATATTTATGATGAGCAAGAGTGCCTCTACCAAAATTGTGAATTTTATGGCCCCAAGGTCAGGGGTTCTGGTGTTACGGTGGGGCTCTATTGATTATATAGTGAAAATACATGAATTCTTTGAAAATCTTCTTCTCTGATCCTGGGTATTAAGCAGATGAACTACCTATATAGTTATGATTCAAGCAAGGGCCCTAATCTTCCAGAATTGTGAATTTTAAGGCCCTAGGGTCAGGGGTACCATAGACGGGGGGGGGGGGGGGGGGGGAGGGGGCTGTACTTATATACTGAAAATGAATGAATTGTTTGAAATCTGCCTCTTGGTATTAATCAAATATTTTTGAAAAGCAAGGATGCCTTTTCAGAAATTGTGCAATATGTGGATCTAGGCCTAAGGGTCAGGGGTTCATGTGTGGGAGGGGCACTACTGATTATTGCTGAATATTAATTACTGATTAGTTGAAATGCATTTTTTGTTCCCCTACCTTGCCTATGGGTATTAAGTAACCAAACTAAGCAACTGCTAAGTGTTTAGTTATGATGATCAATGGTGTCTATTTCAAAATTGTGAATGCCATAGCATCTGGCTTAAAACATGAATCAAATTCAATCACTGGAAAGTTGTTGCATAATGCTCAGGTGACCTATAAGGCCCATGGGCCTCTTGTTTTTTATACTTACGATTTTGATGTGAAAGGTTAACAAGGCCTTTTATTACGACTTTGATATTGAATTTACATTTGTAACAGTTTTTTTCTCTCAAAAATATATCTGTATTTGAGACCACATGTTTTCACAGAACATTTTATAATTTGGCTGCTTAATATATGATACATATATTATAAATGTCGTGTACATACTACTGACATTTGTTTGTAGTGACGTCACATAAAAAAGATCAACGTGAATTGTACAAAAGAAAGTCGATCCCCATTGTATTTCCATTTGAACAAATTTGAAACTATATCGTTTGTTATTTGTATATTTCAAAGTTTTAAATGGTATATGTTATATGAAAAATCTTTTTTTTTTTTACTTAAGGGGGCCGACTATAGTTTTATTGTGTGAAAACTACAATAGCGAAAATCTTCATTTTTATACCATATATAACTTACATTAACTTCAGTGTGCATGCAAAGTTTTGGGAAAATCTACCGTCCAGGTATTTTTGAGGGACCGTCTCAAAATTCTGGTATATTTACTATAGGATTATATTGGAAATGCAAATTTTTAGCACTTTAAAGCAAATCTACCGTCCAGGTATTTTTGAGGGACCGTCTCAAAATTCTGGTATATTTACTATAGGATTATATTGGAAATGCAAATTTTTAGCACTTTAAAGCAAATTATACAAATACTACAATAGACATTTTGTTCAAACTATAATATTTTATTAGTAATGCTCTATGATACAATATATGTAAGAAACACAACATTCTACCGTCTTGTTAAGAGGGGGGGCATCTCAAAATGCAAAAAAATTAGCAAATTTCACTATTTTTAGAGAGTACTACAAAATATGACGTAAACAATGGATTCACAAGAAAACATTATAAAAATATTGGAGATATTCTAAAATTTCTATGTTTTAAATTTCAATAGCGTATGTTTATTACTTTTTCTGTAATAATATGTTTATCACCCCTTTCTTTATGAGCTTCAGATTATCATAACGTCAAAAAGACACTGCAGCGACGTCAACCTACCTATCAATTGCAAAATCGGTTAAATAATCAGTTATATCAAATTGTAAATAAATTTTTATACCTATAATTTCTTAATTTTGTTTAATTTTAATAACTCAGCGAAAAAAGTTGCATTAAAACAATAAATACGCTTCATTTTACTATGATGCGCGAAATATTGCGCAATGGAAACTATAGTCGGCCCCCTTAATTTGTCAATTTTTAAATTCATTTTTTTTTTCGAAATGAGTGATTAGGTATCGTAAATCCAAATTGTTAAATTTTTCATTTTTCGTCAAAAAACCTCTTCAGTAGAAATCTCGAGATTTTCATTGTTGTTGTTTTATTTATTTATTTGATAAGGTTTGGGTACATGTATGACTCGTTCTCTGTAAGGAATTTAACAATTTTCACAGCTTTTAATATAACAAAACATCAAAGCTTATGTAAGCCATCATTCAGAAAAAGTAAAATTTAAATCCCACTATATAATCCAGGAAGCATAAATACTTATTTTAGGAAAAAATAATAAAATACAGGTACATCTACATATATTCGGGTCATGTGACCTAAATTCCAGTACCGAGCTGGCAGCATTACATTTTACTCCAGGTAAGGTTTATCCTACATAAAAATTTTGATACAGAACTAAATACCATCACTTTAAAATATTGAATTTTAACAGATAATTTGCTAGCCACAAGGAAAGTTTTATAAATATTTTTAAATAAAGAAAAGAAATACAACTGATCGAGATATCATGAGAAGGCACAAGTAATTTTTTAGTGACCGGTTTAAACCAAGGATGGTTGTAATCGGAACTTCAAGAATGTAAATTTACCCACCGTGGTAAAATATGTGGCTTGAGATGTTAACAAAATAAAAATATGGAAAGTTTACAGATTGTTTTACGGTTTTTATAAAATTATTTAAAAAAATCACGTGTACTGTACGGTATGACCTTGAGTCAAGGTCATTACAAACCTAAAGGACAATAGTAATTCTTGTACTAAGATGTTTGTAGCTCATACGTAGTACATAGATTGTTTATCACCCGACGGTGGTGTGTCGTGTCCTTAATACAGGTTCAATTCGCAAGTTTATATAAGGTCACTTTTAAAATTCTTCTCCCTGCTAAAACTTTGACTTAAGGACGCTCCAAACACTGCACACTAAAGAGCTCTATTTATTTATTGGGTAGTTTTATGTAGTTAGAGTGATCTGCCCTTAGCTGTAAGAGTAATGAAATTGTTATTTACCGTTTAATACATAATTTATGATAGAATAATATATTTTTAGCATTATATAAGATTAAGAGTAAGAAATTTAAATTAATTATTTTCATTAATTTTCCCAGTGTAAGTAAACAACAGTGATTTTTGCTCACAAATAGTACATTGTCTTTGAATATTTTTCCTACGCAAATAAGGCACGTACCTTATGTTCTTAATGAATGCAAAAGTCTCAATATGCATATCTTTATTTGATATATTTTTCTCTGAGTTTAAAAAACAGTTTCAGTTAGTGTTTAGAGCTTCCTTAAAAACGGAGAATCACTGGAAGTTGGTACTGGGTACAAAGATTACGTACAAAGTAAGGATGTATCTTGACCTTGATCCAAAGTCATTCCAGTAGCAGATAAAAAGTATAAAATTCTTATCCGGGCTATAACTTTGTAATAAAGAATCGCTGGAAGCTTATACTTTTAACAGAGACCGCCTGCGTGGCACAGTAGTTAAAGCACCTACTCTAGAATCGCGGAGTACATGTAAGGACTTGATCCTTACGTCGCGGGTTCGAATCCCATTGCAGGTCAGTCCTTCCGATGAGACCCTTTAAACTGTGGTCCCGTGTCGCAGTAGGAACACTTCTTTTCCTTGTTGGAATTTTGTTTTTGAAAGTCATTGGAAGCTCATATTTAGTACAAAGATTGTAAATAACTGAGGGTGCTTCATGACCTTGACCAAGATAATTCTAGGAAGCACAAGGTCATGAATTAAAATTGGCATATTTTTAGCAGGTTTATTATTTTCTTACTATATAAACAAATACCGGTTCTGTTCTCACAACCCAGCTTGCTGTCACATCGACGGCTTTTCACTTATTTTTATTATATCCTCGTAAAGGAGTTAGAGGGGATGTGGTAAGGTATTTGTATGTGTGTTAGTTTGTCCTTGAGGAAAGCGGAAGTGACGTAAATTGCATCGTGATCGATGTCGAATGCTGCCTTGATTTATGATATAGATATGCTCTTTGCAAGGGGATGCTCCGCTTTGCGGTGTCATTGTTGATATTCTATTCTATTCCGATTATTTAGATTCTATTCAGATTATTCATATTCAGATTAAACATATATATCTATTTATACTTCAGGGTCACAATTATGAATCCCCGTACCAGTGCCCAGGACGTGATGCGATGTGACCTGTGTGATACCGCTGTGGTTCAATTGCATTGCGAGACCTGCTTTGTAAACCTTTGTAAGGCTTGTGTGGGAGAACATACTGTCGCAGATCTATCCAAAGCTCATAAAATTGTTAACTTTAAGGACAGAATATCTTCCCTTCTCTTCCCTGGATGTAATTCCCATGATAAAAAACAATGCATAATGTACTGTAATGAATGTGACATTCCTGTTTGTATTAAGTGCGTTACGTCTGATAAGCATCTAGGTCATAAGGTATCAGAAATCTTGAAAGTTGTAGATGAAAAAAAGAATGAATTAATGAAAGAACAGACTGAATTAAATGAGACAATTTATCCCATCTACAAGGAAATTGCCTGCGATGTACAAAACAGAATGAGTCATTTGGAAAAAGAATATGAAGATCTTTCAAATGTCATAACAAAGCACGAAGAGTATTGGCATGGAGAAATTGACAGACTTGTCAAGAAACTTAAAGCTGAAGTTGATGAGATGAAAAATACACAGTTACAAACTCTACAGAAACATCTGGATGAAATAAAGGAGAAAATTTCTGCTATCAAGGATGAAATCGATTCGATTGAAATAGCTACAGACACAATTGAAATGTCAAAACTTTTAAATGTCACGTCAAATTTACATGCTTACAGAAATCTTCCACACAAAATTATGCTATCTGCAGCTAAATTCACTCCAGGAAATATCCATGGGGAAGATCTTGGTAAACAGTTTGGAGCTTTCCAACCAAGTTCTCTTACTTCTAATGAACACGGCTACAGCATGGAGACAACACAGAAATTACTTGAAGTTGGATCCTCTTCTCCTGTCAAACAGCTGCTTGATGAACCACAGACCGTCACCACCATAAACACTGAGTATCAATATTTCCTTTACGACGTGGCTTGTCAGAGTGATGAAGAAATCTGGACAAGAGGCCAAGACAATACCATGAAACTCTTCAGCATTAATCAGGGATCACTACTCAAGTCAACCAAAACCAAGTCAGGGAACTACCCATCTAGCATGGCAGTGACAAAAAGTGGAGATCTAGTTTATTCTGATTATGATGATAGAACTGTGAACATTGTGAAGAATGAGAAGATATAGGAGGTGATCAGACTACAGAACTGGAGACCTAAAGGTGTCTGTAGTACCTCCTCTGGTGACCTCCTGGTTATCATGGACAGTGATGGTGACAAACAATCAAAAGTTGTCCGATACTCTGGCCCAATAGAGAAACAAACCATTCAGTTGGATGATGAAGGTAAACCTCTCTTTTCACCCAGTCCTCTTTATTCGAGATACCGGTATATTACCGAGAACAGGAACCTGGATATCTGTGTGTCTGAAAAAGAAGCTGGTGCAGTAGTGGTGGTAAATCAGGCCGGGAAACTGAGATTCAGGTACACTGGACATATTCCTTCTTCAAAGAACCAACCATTCAGTCCACGGGGAATCACCACAGACAGTCAGAGTCACATCCTTATAGCAGATGCTAACAATGAATGTGTCCACATCACAGACCAGGATGGACAGTTCCTCCGTTACATACACTGTGGACTGAGTGAACCCTGGGGACTGTGTTCAGATACAAATGACTATCTGTTTCTTGCCCAGTGGACAAATAAGCAAGTACAGAAAATCAAATATCTTCAGTGAAACATATTTTAACTCTATAAATTTGAATGATAACAAACGTTTTGCTGAAATTATATTTTGTTCGCTGAGTGCATTGTTACAACGCACTTTGAAAAATTACGCACTTTGAAAAAATTTTTCAAAGTGCGTTAATTTTTGGGAGCAGGTTAACGCACTTTGAAAAATTTTTTCAAAGTGCGTTGAATTTGGGACCAAATCAACGCACTTTGAAAAAATTTTTCAAAGTGCGTTAAGATGTACATCATAATTTTACACCATGTCAACATTTAACGCACTTTGAAAAAATTTTCATGAAACAAAAGGAATTAGACTTATATTTTAGAAATAGACAACAGTATTACCCCCTCGCAACGTATGATGGGATATAGTGATGCGATTATGTGTGTTATTACTTTATGTGTATGTTATTTTTTTCTGTGTGGAATTGATGTATAATTTGTATCGCGATCGATGTCAAATGCTGCCTTGATTTACTGAACATGGTTTTTGGGAAGGAATGCTCCGCTTTGCGGTGCCCTTACTTTGATGTGTTTCTTTCTAAAAACTGATGGATTGAAGAAAACCTAGAAACGGACAACGAAGAAAAGACTGGCTGAATTAAGGTCTATCAGCTCAACTCTTTATCATTCCCACCCAGATGTATCTATTTCTATAACTCGTAAACTTAAGTGTCAATGATATTTGAAAAAAAGAGCATTCTAAATACAATATAAGCACTGTACAAGGAAGTCTGTAGTAAATCGAAATTTTGTTCTTTTAATTCTCAAAGTCTATATATGTTCATTTTCAGGAAAATCAGAATATTAATTACATTAATTACATTTAATTATATTAAGTACCTGTCTGCTTTTCGATGTTAATTTGATACCATATCTGATAATCTCTCTGTTAACCTCCAGGTATTTAACTTACATGATATTTTCATAGGAATTGTTCATTTAACATGTATCTAATATCTTTTCTCATGTTTTACGCAAATGAATAAAGCATATATATTAAATTAATAAAGTACAATTATTTAGTTTTAAATAGCTTCAAAATTGGTGAAAAATAAGCATTTTTTTTGTCTATAAACATATGCCCCCCCCCCCCACCCCCCCCGTGAAACACAAAAAGCTTTGGAATAAATTTTTAAAATAACAGTCCTTTTTATCTTTAAAAAGTAATTTTTGTTTCACGGGGGGGGGGGGAGTTGTTTAAAAAATATTTTCAGTTTTCCGTTGATTTCTATAGTGGAAAACACAAGTTTTGCCAAAATTATAGAGTTATCTCTCTTTGGTATCCCAAATAAGTAAGGTTTTATGAAAATTCATTTAAATATGTATAAAAATTTTGAGAATCATTTTTTAGAATCATTCCAAGATGTTAACTTTTGAGAATTGACTTATAGATAGGCGGAAGAATAATACTATCGCTCGTAGTTCTTTACGACTTTGAATGTTGACCTTTTGACCCCAAATTCAAAAGGGGTCTTCCTAAGGCCACAGGTATTCTGTTATGTTAAATTTCATTGCAAAAGCTCAAAGGGTTGTCGTGTGGAAACGAAAGCGTTACAGAAAGACGGATGGACGGACAGCTAGACGGACGGACGGACAGGTAGACCCAAATTAATACCCCCCACTTTTCAAGCGGGGGACAAAAAGTATCAAATCAGGTTCAATTGATAAGTTATCATACTTAAGATTTGTAGGAATATTGACTAAGCCATGCAGATTTTTTTTTCAAAGTGCGTTAATATGGTCCATATTAACGCACTTTGAAAAAAAAAAAGATTTTCAAAGTGCGTTAACCTGGTCCCAAAAATTAACGCACTTTGAAAAATTTTTTCAAAGTGCGTAATTTTTTCAAAGTGCGTTGCCACAGTGCATTCAATGGATTGAGAAGTGTGGGTATGATAACAGAATCAAAATCTGAGAAAACCAACCTTTAAAAGTCAACGCAAAGTCATATTCTTAATTTTGAATCTACCAGGGGGAGTACTCCAACCCATTAGTACAATTATACATTAAATTTTTATATTGACTGAGTTCGAGGGCAACATGCGTTTTGTCGGACCCAAGAACCAAACTGTCTGCCTGAGGTCGTTAGGCCGAATTTCGCAGAATTTCGTGGTGTAACATGAGGTCCGTCGCTGTTGAACACCAACGAATGAAAATGAAATTAAGCTCCGCCCCTTATGTGCCGTAATCAGTCCAACATCTTATCGGCCGGTCCAACATAAACGGTCTCACTCGGTCCAACATCGATTTTTTATGCCTGCTCAGCAAAACATTAGAAATGTTAGACTTTTTTTCGTGTAGATTTGTATGGGTACAAATTTTTAAAGGTATAACAATCTCTGTTATCCTTGGATTTTCAGTAAGTCGTGGCCTTCCCGACGTTACATAATTAGGGTATGAAAATTACACAGCATTTCATTCACTGTTGAAATATACTAGTACATGAAATAGAAATCCGGGCGAATGTCAGAGAGGTGGGTATTAAGTTGTCTCATCGTTGTCAACAACAATTTAAAGTTGCAGATGTTATTAAGGTCATTGGCAAGGCAGGGTTTCCGGAGAAAAAGGTTAAATAAATAGATGTAGGTTTTTCCATCTATAAAAACAGCCATTGAGAGTGATCTCCCGTTTGGAATTCTCTAGGCGGTGGAAATAAAAAATAGAGCGTTTACAGAGGTAAACAAAAGCACATGTGTGCTATAATGAATATTCTATAAAGAATCAACTATAATACAAGAAAGAGAAGCAGTGATATAATTTTGTTATACATTGTGTAAACTAAAAGGGCAGACAGTCAACAGGTCGTCATTTACCATTGTTATGCTGGGAAGGGCAAGGATGCGACATGTGCTGAAAGTTGTGAAAGCTAGGCCGGTAACCGGATAGGAACAGTTCTATAGGTCATGTTAAGGAGGCACCGTCTAGTAACTAGGAATAAAAGTTATGATAAATCCATGCAAATATATTTATGACAATTTGTTTCCAATAACGTAAATTAGATAGATATTAGATAGATAGAAACTCTTGATTATTGTGAAGAATAATTATATCTTATGGTAAGTAACTCAAAATTAACGAACAGTGCTGGAATTTCTGTGTCTTGTTTCTATATTTTGCATTTTCAGCCAAAATATAAACGTGTCATCGGATATAAGGATACAACACATGTTTTTTATTCAAAACGTCTATGAAATAAATGGGTTTTAGAGAAATCGTATGGTTAAAAACTATGTAGGTCCTTTTTATCAACATTTTACACAGAAAATGCATTGAGAATTGTAAAAGTATTGATTCGACAAAATTTAAAAAGGAAGGCTGGCTTGGTGGATTAAATGAACCAGAATTAACCATGTTTGGTACCATTAAACCTGTTTAAAAATTCTTGTAAATTTCTATACTACAGCCAGAAACCTTGCCAATGTCTTTTCTTAACAAATGAGAATCTATGTTGCCATTCGAGAGACACTAATTATGTAGCGTCGAGAATGCCTCGCCTTACAGAAAGTCTAAAGATGACAGAGAATTGTACTAAATTCAAAATTCAGAACATGACAGAAATCTATTTCTTTTAGGCACAAAATATAAAGTTGGTGGTGCATATGATAAATATGTATTACATGCACGCGTTCGCAGAGATATCAAATTCAATATTTATGCAGGAATTTTATTAAACATATTATTTGGATTGTTTTCTTGTTTGTTGGCTTCGTATTTTTTTTTATGATGATGGTTTTTATTTTAACTAATTTCTCCTTTTCAAAGAAAGTCTTACCAAACTTATTTAGATTATGTGTAAGGTGAAATAAAAATAATGAGACTTTCCTTGGAAATTATAAAGAGGAATTAAATAATTGAATTTTGGAAAAGTTTTGTGCAAAGAGAATTTATGAACACCAAGCAAATTAAGAGTTTTTGTCCCCTGCATTCCGGTTTTATTGGTTTGTGTGCAGTGACTTATGGCATGTTGTAACTTTTTGTCGATCCATCATAACAAAAAATATTTTTTACATAAAATATTTGGGTGTAAAAGAAAGAACCAAGATAACTAAAAGTCATACTTGAAGTCTTGGTCATGAAGTCAATAAAGTACCTTCAGAAAGGTCACAAGCAATGCACATGTGAAAAAATATGAAAGCCTTGTAATAGTGCAAAAGTTATGACCAGGTTAAATATTTTAACCCCTAAAAGGTCAAACTTTATGGTCAAAGTCATAAGTTCAAAAATCATAATAAATTCGAAGAGGTCATAGGTAATGCACAAGATGATAGAAAACCTGGAAGCTCTTGTTCTGCAGGTGTAAAAACTTTTAGCTACATGTAACGTTAATTTTATTTATGAAAGTTCGAGATTATTAAGGGGGCCGACTGGGGTTATACTGTGTGAAAACTACTATAGCGTTTTTATACCATATATAACTTGCATTAACTTCAGTATACATGCAAAGTGTGGAGGAAATCTACCGTCCAGGTATTTTTGAGGTACCGTCTAAAAATACAGGTACATTTACTATAGGATTATACAATGTATAGGAAAATCCCAATTTTTAACACTTTAAAGCAAATTTTACAAAATACTACAATAGACTTTTTGTTCAAACTATAATATTTGATGAGTAGTCCTATATTATACAATATATGTAAGAAACACACAATTTCTACCGTCTTGTTACCAGAAGGGGCATCTCAAAATGTCAAAAATTAACGAATTTTCCTGTTTTTGTAGAGTACTACAAAATATGACGGGCACAAAAGATTCATATGAAAACATAATAAAAATAATGGAGATATTCTCAAATTTCTCTGTTTTAAATTTCAAGAGCGTATGTTTTATTACTTTTTATGCCCCCGTAAACGAAAGTTCGGGGTAATAGTTTTTGTCGTGTCCGTCCGTCTGTCTGTCTGCCTCTCTGTCTGTCTAGCTGTTTGTTTGTCCGCAAAAACTTTAACCTTGCCCATAACTTTTGCTTTAGTGGAGGTATGACTTTCATATTTCACATGTGTATTCCTTGTGACAAGACCTTTCTTTGGGTACCACCAAATTTGACCTTTTGACCTTGAAGTTTGACCCACTTTTACATGAAAATTTTAAACTTTTACTTTGGCCATATCTTTTGAACAGTAGAAACCAGGACATTTATACTTCGCAAATGTATTTTTTTGTTAAAAGACCTTTCATTGGATACCAACAACCTTGACCCTTTGACCTTGACCTTGTAAATTTCCGTACTTGTGAAAAAACTTTAACCATGGCCACAACTTTTGAACGGTAAGGGATAGGGCTTTCATACTTCATATAGGTAATCCTTGTGAGAAGTCCCTTCATTAAATACCAAGAACCTTGACCCCTTGTCCTTTACCTTTGAGTTTGATCTACTTTAAAAAAGCAAACCTTGACCATAACTTTTAAAGAGTTAGGGCTAGTGCTTTCATACTTTACATATTCAATTCTTCTGACAAGACCATTCATTTGATAGCAAGAACTTTGACCCTTTGACCTTGACCTTGGAGTTTGACCTACTTTTTAAAAAAATTAACCTTGGCCATAACTTCTGAACACTTAGGGCTAGGGCTTCCATACTCTACATAAGTATTCTACATGGCAAGACTTTTCATTGGATATCAATTACCTTGACCTTTTAACCTTAACATTGGAGATTTTTGTACTTATTGATAAAACTTTAACATTGGCCTACTTTCAAATTCCTTAATTGTCTTCCAGTGAGAATATCCTACTTTTTGCACCAATTAATTAAATTTGCATTAAAGAAAAGTTTAATCTTTGCTATGTTGCCATACAGAGGCATCAGCGTTTCACAAACACATCTTGTTCTTTATCTTATGATTGCCAATGAAAACACATTCCGCATGGGGTCCTGATTTAAACCTGAATCTAGACTACCTTGCAGGTTGGGAGTTGGGAGCTTATTTGACTATACTACAACAAACAAGTGGGGAGGGGACAGGCTTTAAATGAATATTTCTATTGTAAAAACGTATGTCTGGAGTAGAGTGGGACACCCCCCCCACCAATGCCAATGTGGTTTGGAAACAACCTGACCGGCACAAGTTGTTAAAAATCAAAAAGGCATAGGTGCTTTTCGAGTTATCGACCGTTAGCTGTTACCATCAATATTAGCCACATTTTCCCCTTACATTCATTTGAATATTTCTTCTTTACAATTAAAATGTCATTCATTCATGTGAATTGACATAAACATTCTGATTTAAAATTCACTGATTTTTTTTTTCATTTATTTTAGCAGACTTTAATCATAATTGCTAATTTTTTAAGAAAATCAAAACCGAGATGGAATCCTTTTTGATTCAATTGAAATACTTCCCTGAATTTGCTGCTTATAATTTTCAAATGAAATGTATTGTAAGCTAATTATCCACTTCTTTTTAGAACCATCGCATCCCATCTGCTTTCCCAGCTCTTGGAGCCACGCCCCTTTTTTCCGGGACGCTGATTTCCTCCGAAATGTTAATCCGTTTCATGGTCGAACATGACTCACGCCATAAAACGAATGAAATCTGGAAGTTGCACACTCTTGAGTTTCACAGAAGCCCGATTTTCTCACACAAAGGATTTATCATTAGTCAGCTGTTGATGTATATTAATTAAAATAGCATAGAAGTCATGCCTAGAATACCCATGGAGCAAAACTATACCAGATTTCATGCATGTAACAAATGCTTTAGCGGAATATGTTACTATGAGCCATGGCACAGTAATGTGTAAAAATGCCATCAATTAGTAAATATCGTTTAATTTGTGTAGATTATTATAGTTCTTTATGTGCATTAATTATTTAAGCTATTCAATGCAATACCGTGCATCATATCAAAGTTATTTATACATTTTGAGTGCATAAAATAGATAGAGCCTATAATCATTATTTATGTATATAAGTTTTAAGTCTGTAAAGCGCTTCAAGATAATTTAAAATTAATTTGTTAGTACCATTTTCCTTTTTGGATGGTGAGGGGGTGCGTGTAAGTTGCACATTGCGTATTTTAAAAAAATTCAATCTAATCGCAAAGTTTTAATATAATTTGATAATTTTT